AAAGAGGCATTGATCCCAACACACACAAACCTCTCTCAGAGGCTGGAAACAATGGCGATGAAGACAAGAAAACAAGAACAGCAACCATGAACAAGAGCAAGCCGTCTTTTGTCTGTAATGAACTCAAGCTCGTAAACCCATCTCAAAGCTCTTCTTCTGCGACCAATCAAGAATTCTACGTTGAGAGAACATCAGATATGGCGGAATATTTCGCTTTTCAGAAGCTTAATTTCAGCTCCAACCTCGGCCTCACTGTTACCACCGACGCTTCTCTCTCTTCCATGCTCTCTTCGCAGTTCAACACAGCTTTTCAGACGCCGATATGCATGAAGCAATCGGTTAATCTTCCGACAGAGAACAGTTCCAGTGCCTCAGGAGGAAACCATCATGTCAAAGTGGCGCCAACTTGGGAAGTAATCTCAAGCCTCAACAATGGTGGTGAATTGCAGACTAACAGTTCTTCGAGTTTCTTCGACAATGGTGGATTCTCATGGGCACTCGCGGATTCATCTACACTCGTCAAAGCAAATAACAGTTCCTTTGAAAACACCAAGTGGTCTGAGTACGGACTCGACACACCATTCTTCGCTGGGAGCAATGTACAGAACCAAAGCTCTCAGCCCATTTACGTTGGTTCAATGGTGAAACCAGAAACTGATTACTTAACCAACAACGATTCGAACTCATCGATCGATCTTTGGAGCCAAAGCCAACATGATTTTCACGAAACCGTGCCATTTGGTCAGACCCTTTAGCTTGATTTTAACAGTACTCTCTCTCTATATATATATAGAGAGAGAGAGAGCATGAAGGACACTATATACAAACAATGAAGCAAGTCTTCTGTTGGGCATGTAGAAGAAGAAGAAGAAGAAGAAGAAGAAGAAGACTAGCAGTGTTATTCTGCATATTCTTCTTCATTGTGTAAATTGATGAACATAAGCTTGTTATCTTATGGAATGAAATTAACACCATTGGTTAGCTTTCCACGAATGCATGGTGATCCAAGTAATTTCGACACCATGAGTGTCAGACATGTAATCAGTTAAAGGACAAGAGAGATAAATTTTAATTAGTTGTCTTGTAGTTGAATTCACTTTTGTTTTTTTTGTTTAGTCTTGTCATAGATGCATTTGTGTTTGTACTTCCCATTGACCTCTCTCTCCTCTTGCCGGCGCCGGAATATACCCCCGCCGGAAAATTAAGTAAACTGCCTATCATATAGTTCAAGGAAATACCTATGGGTTTAGGGATTTATTTATCCTAAGATAGTTTTTTTTTGTTTCTTTATTTCTTTTTTGTTGCGATGACGGTTCAAATTCAGAATTTGAATTGACGACGTAAAAATCTTAATAATTAAGTGGAACTCGAACCAAAAAAACTCTTAGCGGATGAAAACTTGAACAACATTAATGATTTTTTAATTTCATATTATTGTCCATAATTAGCTCTCTCTTACGATATATATATATATATATATATAGATAAAAATAATCAAGCTAGGTAGCACCGTAGCATAACATGTCCACCACCCTAAAATACATGAAACGAACTCGGTTATCATATGCATCTTTTCACGATTTTCAAAATTTACACGTGATTATTTCACACCTGAAGATTTTAATATGGTGAAAACAACTCTAATGAACTCATATAATAAATCATTTGTAAGCAGTAAATTAAAAAAAAAAAAAGTATTCTTTTCCGTGGCTGAATTGTGTCTTGTGAATAAATTAGAATAAGGGTATCATGGGGACCCCATAATGCATGTGAACCAAATAATTGGACTTACAAACACCAATCATTGTGTTGTTTAATATATAGAGAGAGAGAGTTTAAAATAAGAAAGAAAGCCCTCGTCTTTCAAATTGCTTATATTCAACAGTTTTATTATATATACGTAATTCATGGATTATACGGCACGAACTCGTCGTAGTTTGACACAAACGGATCTTTTATACCTTAGAAAAATAAAGAATGTCGTGGAATATGTTGCTTTCCTCTTTTCAATCATTCATTTTGATTTTAATTTCGGTATAAACATCATTTGAATATTCCTAAATTAATGTGTCATGCATGCATGTATGGAATGTAACACCCACGAATTGCCGATGATTGATATATATATATATATATATATCACATTATTTCTTTCAATTAAATATTTTTTATTGATTCATAGATCGCAAGATTTGCAAAATATTTCCTCTTGTATTTTTACTCATGATATGGACGTGTATATATTCATAAAATTTACAGATAATTAGAATATATTAAACCTATAAGAGAAAACGTAACATGATTATAATATTTATTTGTACATCTTACCCTGATAATGGAGGTCTGATGATTGTTATTTTCACAGAAAATTGTGAAAATTTTGTGAATTATATGGTGTTGAGGTATGTTGCGTGTTTATGATCATGGTTACGTTAACATTACATATATAAAATATATAATTGAAATAAAAGAAAACGAGACGGAACAAAATCACGAGGTCGAATAATGGATATTTAGGGGACGATTAAGAATGGAATCGAAAATCATGGGATCTTCAACCACTACACCAGATCCCCAAGGGCTTTTAGTTGCATATTAGAACTATGGAATAGATGGACTTTTATTTAAGTACACGTCTTCTTATTTATTTATTTATTAAAATCCGATTTTATATGATTATGAGTCTATATTGAAATAGATTTTTGTGTGACATCTCAAATTAGATGTTTCATTCTCGTTATAAAAAGACAAAATAACTATCGAGGGTACTGATTTAATATCAATCAAAAAACAAAGTGCAAAAAAAAGCAACAAAAAATATTGCAAAAAATGGTCCGAAGTTCGTAAGAAAATTTCGGACATACTTCCTTTGTGGTCGGCCCATTAAGAAAGCCCAATTAAATATATTGGGCTCACCTAAAGAAAAAAACGAAGAGCTGCAACAAAAAAAAAAGGAATCACATAAAATAAACTTTTTAAAAATAGGAAGTAAATAACTAAATACGCAGGCAGAAGAACCAGACAGAAGATCTGGCAACACGATCGACGGTACAATCGCAAAGGTTGAAGATCGAATACATTATCCGGCGAGAGACGGATCGAAGAAGATGCTGAAGTTGACTTCACAGATGCGCTGTGGGTTTCCGTTGGCTATCGTACTGTCGGCGCTTCTGTTGTTTATGTCGCCGGAGATAATTCCGGTCGGCGAGGCGATTTGGATGAGCGTGCCGCCGACGGGAACGAAGTGTGTCTCCGAGGAAATTCAAAGCAACGTTGTTGTCTTGGCCGACTTCCTCGTCATCTCCGAAGATCATTCCGTGTTACCCACTGTCTCTGTCAAGGTAAATTCCTTGGTTTTTGTTCGAATCCGCTTAATTGTTCGTCGGCTGATCTGCGTGGTGCTTGTGGAAGCTTTACTTAGTCTTTTTCTTTGACATTTTTCTCCGTGATATTTGGATGTTTTCGTAAGACATGCATGGTTTCATGTCCGATTCATCTTTCCTTTTTCACGAGTTTCCTTTTACGGGACATGTATTTTAACTGATTCTACCCATGATGTTCTCTGATTACCCAGATATTCAATATCAGCATTTGAATATATATTCGTATATGTGTATTTCTTGATTGTGATGTGATTCTTGAATTATTTTTGGACAAAGTCATTCAATGTTGTTAATCAACCAGTAAAGATGTCTCTGCTGTGAATCGACTAGGAGATCATCTCTACTTACATTTCAAGTCTTTGGCAATCATATCTGCACGAAAAGAAAACCGAAGCAGGAGTAGAGTGAGGGTTAGAGAGCATTATGTGAATGGTGTTTGTTCAAGTTTGGCGTCTCAAACATTTGGATCTGAGTGTGAAACTGTGTGTGTTATGGAAATGCTCTGATGTTCTTGGGCATTTGTTCTCTGTTTTTTATTTTCAAACATGGTCTATAGCTTGTGTATGAACAGTATTGCCCAGATGCTTAGGTTTTGTGTTAACATCAAGGTTCAATCAACTATCTGGAAAGATGGCATCTGGAAGGAAAGCAGGGTTCTGTATTTGAAACCAGTGATACCGATGATCTCAACCTTTTCTTTAGATTAGCAGAGATTAAGGGTATTCCTCCATTTCGTGTGCAAAGATCGGGCCTATTCCCTAATGGAATGTGTACATCAAAATTCCCTGGGATGTATTTGACTGCTATGAGGAAGTACTAGTTAGGCGATAGTCATGGATGCTTTAGGGTTTCTTGTGGTTTGATGGATTGTGAGTAGAAGTGCCATCAGATGCATTATGATTGAGTTCACATAATTACATGTCTGTATATATATTCATTCGAAGTGGAAAAAGGCCACAAGCCTGTGATGTGTTATATGAGAACTAGTCTCCTTTTGTTTGCCTATCTTTCTCTCTGAGTTCTCCGTATTTTTCAATAATCTCTTCTTTTTCTGATTTCTTGCAGGTGACATCCCCATATGGCAACAATCTGCATCACCAGGAAAACATAGCACATGGTCAATTTGCATTTACAACTCAAGAGTCCGGAAACTACTTGGCATGCTTTTGGGCTGAAGGGCATAATCATGGAAACAAAGATATTAGCATCAACCTTGACTGGAAAACTGGAATTGCTGCCAAGGATTGGGACTCTATTGCCAAAAAAGAGAAGATCGAGGTAAGTTCTCGCGTAGAATATGCAAAGTTAAAGTGTTTTTTTTTTCTCTCGGGGCTGAAATTACAAATTGATTTAGAAACTTTCAGTTTATATTGGCTTCAAAGCATTCAACACGCTTCTAGCATGTAATCCCATCCTTGTTCTCAACTGTGCTTTCTGCGCATGTTTGATTTTCGATAAACCCAAAAAGAAATTACTGTTGAGGTTATCGCCTCTAAAAGGGTAGTAGCAGATTTATATTTTCAATTACTAATCGAGATTTGCATTGGAATGTCAGGAAAATCCTTAAAGCTTGTCCTTTTATGACATCCCGTTTGCTTGTTAACACAGGGCGTCGAGCTGGAGCTCAGAAAACTCGAAGGTGCAGTCGAGGCCATCCATGAAAATTTACTTTACCTGAAGACCAGGTAACGACTTAGTCGTGTGTTCTAAGAGGTTGGACAAACTTTTCCATTGCCCCCTTGTCACTTGTCAGATGCTCTCATTTCTCTGATTTCAAACCTACAGAGAAGCCGAGATGAGGACCGTGAGCGAGAAAACGAACTCACGGGTCGCGTGGTTCAGCATAATGTCGTTGGGCATCTGCATCGCGGTCTCGGGTTTACAGGTGGTGTACTTGAAGCAATACTTTCAAAAGAAAAAGCTTATCTAGGACGAAATCCATGGAACTGTCCCTCGTTGGAAGAGTACTTAGAGCTTTTCCTCTGCGTTTTCATTCATTTTGAAACTGTAAAAAGTTTGTTCTTGGGTTTTAGTTGCGGCTTTTGCCTGTTTAGATTTTATTTTTTAAGCTGTAGACCATGGAATTGTTCGTTTTCATTCATTTTGGTTAAGGATTATTGAACCGAACCGGGTAAAATTTATGCAAAACAAATCTGATCCAAAAGGAAATTATATATCATTTTCTAAAACTAAATTAATCAAATACGAATTAAATCCAAGATTGACAAAAGCGACAAAAAAAAAGGAAAGAAAACGAAAATTGTTTCTTAGTGCAAGACCGAACACCGATAAAATCGAAAATTAATATTAGACATCGAAGTAATTTTATAAAATTGAAACAATTGAATCGGAAAATAAGTGAACAAAAAAAGAATCTAAATGTCTACTCTATTTTAAGAAAATAAAAAGTATTTTTTTATCACATAATTGAAATTAAGAAAGCAACGGTTAAAAGTGTGGGGCATGGTACGGATTACTATTTATTTATTATGAGGTTGCGAGAGCAGAATTGATAACTCAATTTCGACATTAAATGTTTTGCAAGTGAATATAGGGGGCTAAAACTCTAATATCTTGAGAATATAGGGGTGTTCTAGAAATTAACAATAATATAATTACCCATATAGTGTAAGCCCAATTAGGTGATCAGATGGGCTGAAAATAACCCTAAGTTAGGAAAGCCCAAACTCGGAGTAACCTACATATATAAGTGGAGGGTCTCGTCTTCTTCATCTCCCTCCGGCGATACTAGGGTTTTTGCCGCTGATTCGTCCAGAGAAAGAGAGGAGAGAAAAATGCCGGCCGGTCATGGAGTTAGGGCACGAACTAGGGATCTGTTCGCGAGGGGTTTTAGGAAGAAGGGTTACATCCCACTGACCACGTACCTCAGGACCTTCAAGGTCGGTGACTATGTCGATGTCAAAGTCAATGGTGCTGTTCACAAGGGCATGCCTCACAAGTTCTACCATGGCCGCACGGGTCGGATCTGGAACGTCACCAAGCGTGCTGTCGGCGTCGAAGTCAACAAGCAGGTTCGGAAAACTCATATCTCTGTCTGCGCGTCTTCTAGTGTTTCTAAGTGGTCATTTTGAAGTTGGGTTTGGATTTCTTATGTTGTTTGTTTCCGAAAGTTTGACGCTTTGTGAGTTGGGTTTTCGGCTATATCGGTTAAATTCTGAAATGGGCAATGATTATTGTTCCAGTTATGCAAGTTCTTTTAATCGCTTAAATGGAGATTGAATTGTTTTCATATGTTTGCTAGATCATGTGAAAAATCTGTTTCTTTGATGCATTCAGGGTTATAATTTTGACCCAGGAAACTGGGAGGGTTCTTTGATTTGGTGTTCTTACTGTCTGTCTGAAATATCTGTGGTTGGTTCATTTTGATAATGGTGAATTGATATGCATAATCACTTGTGTGTGCAGTTTCTTTTCCTCTGTTAACTTTGCTCCTATTAAATCCTTATAAAACATTTGCATTTTACACATTCATTTTCGATTTTATGGATTCTCTACTGCGGTTCCTGCGTCTGGATATTGGCTCCATGACTGATTTATGTACATCTTAGTTCAACTCCTAACATTCTGGAAGTACCTGTTTCTGGTACTGCATTGAAATTTTACTGAATTTTGGCTGCCTATTACTACTTTACACATTCATTTTGAACTATTATTGGTTCTGTCCGCATAAAGTTGGATCTTTCCGGCAATACCTTTCGTTTTCCAGTCACCTCTTCGGTTAGAACTTAGAACCATTAGGGACCTAACTCATACCACAAATATTTGGATTTCTCAGGTGGGTAACAGGATAATCAGGAAGAGGATCCACGTACGTATCGAGCATGTGCAGCAGTCAAGATGTGCAGAGGAGTTAAAGCTGAGGAAGAAGAAGAATGATGAGCTGAAAGCTGCGGCCAAGGCCAAAGGCGAGGTCATCAGCACAAAGAGACAGCCTGAAGGACCCAAACCCGGTTTCATGGTCGAAGGTGCAACCTTGGAGACTGTCACTCCGATCCCGTACGATGTTGTCAACGATCTCAAGGGCGGCTACTAGTTCCTCTACTACATGCCATGCCATACCATAGCTATTCAGATATTTGCAGTTTATCTCTGTTTTCTTTCCTTCCGAGTTTTCTGTCCGTTTGTTGTTTTGTAGTAACTTTGTCTCCGACCAAAGTCTTCAAGTTATATATGCAAAATACAGTTGGCAGAGTGCGTTCCGATTGTTATTTAGTGGAAGTTTTGTCACTAATATCTGTCGCCATTTCTTGTCTCACGTTTCATAAACAACCTGTCAAACATGAAAGGCTAATAATTTTTAGTTCAAAAAGTCAGTTTTTTTTTTTAAATTTTTTATTTTTTTTCCAGCCATATCATCTTCTTCGTCTGGATGATCTTATTTCAACAACTCCCCCCACCGGAGACTCGAAGACGGGAAACAGGAACAGAGGAAACGACTGTGTTGGAGAGGTGAGTGGCGGCAGTTGTATCGGGATCAAGAGGAAGAATAACCGGTTCTGAAGAATCAGAGGATCTTTGCCGGTATAATCCAAAGCTCGGAAAATGGGTTGTCGTGTTGGGGTGCAAAGAGCTCCTTTTTTCCAGAGCTCGAGCATCAATGGCGGTTGATGGCGTAGTTATACAGATACAGAGCCGAGGAGGATTTTGGTTGGGTTTTCCATATCTAAACTGAATGATCATCTCTGGTCATAAACGTAAAAAAAAAAATGTATTGGCAGGGAAACGAAAAAAGAGAGAAAATAAGTTTTCCCAAAACAAAATTGATCAAAGAAAAAAAAGTTACAAAAAAAAAAGCAGACAATTTTGAGGATGATCCACCAAAGCAAGAACATTTCACACAATATATCCGGAAGGGTAAAAAACCCCACCTTTACAAATCTCATTTTCCTTAACACAAAACTTGAGTGAGCCCTTTCTTTCTTTCTTTTTTTGTTCTTTAAAAACACATCTGCCTTTTGATTTCACCCGGAATCTCTCTGTACATCTTGCCATCCCCATACTAAGAACCAAGACGGCCAATGGATCAATTATATCATTTATTACTCTGTCTCAAGAAACTGACCTAGCTCCACATACCTCTGCCCCCTCGGCGATTCTCTTGTTCTGATACTCTCCTCCTCGTGCAGGGGGAGCAATGGGGCCCCGCTTCGGTCCTCGAGGCTCGCCCTCGGCTCCTCCAAATCCCGAAAACCCCTCAGTGCCATGGAGTCTGAAACCGGGAAATAGACGAGCAAGAAAATGGATACAACGGCAAATGATAAGAGGGAGAGGAAAGCCAAGAAAACGAGGGCTTCCGATAAGATGTCTCCAGGTTTCGTTAGAACGGACAGACCGAGCAGAACAATCCTCAATGGGAGGAAACTCGATACCGATATTATTAATGTGTATACCCTCCTCTGTAAACACCTATTGATGACCAGTTTCAGTATCTGCCTCCCGAGCCAAAATAAGTAAGCCGTTAGGATGGTGGCAAAGACACCGAGAAGGATGGTACCCAGGAGAGGATATGTGCAAAGGGTTATCCTGTCTTCATCTGTAACAACACGGGAATATGTTCTTGTGAAATAGTGTGGCAGCTTCCTCAAAGATCCACTGCTACTACCTCTGCGTATCCATGATCCGGAGATGATAACCACGAGTTGAAGAGCAAATATTGGGAGGCAACAAAGAATCACATATCCAACTGTTTTGGCATTCCATTTCCCGCTCAAGGTCCCGGTTTCCATCTTCAATGGAGCACGGAGAAGAAACATGAGGGTGAGAAACATGCAGGGTTCTGAAAACCCTAGATTGGAGACAACGTAAAACTTGCAGATGTTTTCCTGCCATTGCAGATCCAACGAGTTCAATGGTCTCCCGTCGAGTCTCAACAAACTTAACCGAAAAATCTCACCAATGGCCCACCAGATTGCAAACAATATGAATGTGATACGAATAATCCAAGGACCGCTGAAGTAACCAAGCCGAAGGAAGTCTCGCTTATGGACATGAGATTGAAAATAGAGGGAGTACGCAATGCAGAGGAAACCCAGAAGTATGAGAAGAGCGACTAGGCATATCGTCACCACGCCGAATGCATCGGAAGCTAATTTTGCAAGGGGCATCACCCGAAACACAGGATCCACGCATGCTCTCTTCCAGCACGGATATAGCACGATCTGTAGCAGCTGATGCCCTCCTCTCCAGACTAATCAGAGAGATCAGTAGCTAGAGAACCATATGGAAAAAAGAGTAGCCCACCTTCAGCAAAGGCTGCAGTTTTAAAAGGTGAAGTAGATACAAAAATGTAGTCTAGATCACACAAAAGTACTTTTGTGGTCTGACTCTAGCATTCAGTCTGCGTATCACCTACATAAACTGGAAAAATGACAAAAAAGTCAGCAGCCTTCTAAAGATGTCCAAGATGGATATGCAGAGATATTGGACTTTATCGGGATATATGATAGTGCAAGGAAAATCCATGGAAGACAACCTTTTTGACAGCCACGCCATTTAAATTATACATGACATCTTCAATAAGAACAATAACAAGCACCCCATAATCAACTGTCAAGTAACTACTTGTTTATTACTATAACAAAGGTAGTAAGGCAACAAAAGAATAAAACAAAAAGCGGCTAACAAACATTGATAAATGCACCGTGAAAAAAAAAAGTATACTTGCCTAATTCATACATTCAAATTTTAGAAACATGCAAAGCAATCAACCTTCAACAGGTCTACAAACATCAAACACGGGAACGGCACTATCTACCAAACAAAGACTGCTTTCACCAGGAACTTGTGAAGCCCTTAAAACAAGTTCGTCAGGACACTCATTTAGGCTTAAGTTCAAAAGCCTCTCACTCAGCTCTCCCACCAAATACAATCTTTGTCAAATCAACAACAAAGCGAGGTCTTCAACTAAAATGGAATTTACCTTTCATAGTATGCCCCGTAACAGATATCTTATCTGGGCTTCAAAGCACGAGCATTGTATGCGCAATTTCTAATTAGCATTAAACACTAGGAGATTATGAACAACGAAACCCTTCCAGAGAAAAGTGTCAAACAACTACTGTTGGGAAAAAACAAACAATTTGAAAATATCAAACCACGATAACATTCACAGAGACCGCTACGTTAAAAGCTGTCAATGACAAGCAAAAACAGGTCCCGAAACTATCCTTCGAAATGCAAAGCGTGCTCCTACTTTATCAATCTCAACAACTTGCGAGACAGAAACGTTTATCGTCTTAACAAATCCTTAAAAATCTATATTTCCAGCAGAAATCAATAGCCAATGAAAAATCCAAAACTAAGTCAAAGAAGTTCATAATGTTCTTCCGAT